GAACTGCTGAGAGGAAAAAATTTCACAGAATATACTAACTCTAATCATTACCGGATGAATATTTTGGAACTACATATTAGTTTCTAATCTTGTATTAGATTATCAGAAAAGTTATTTTGAAATACCAATAGTTTGAAACTGAAAATTTTGATATGAAATTTTTTGAAGACTGAACAATCAAAATCTGAATTTCTAAATAAATTAGAGCAAAAGGAATAAAAAGTCTGCATTAATGCATATTTTCTCAGAAAGTAAATATATTTAAGAAAGATTTTAAGCTAATTCTAAACTGAGTAGTTTTTAGTCAATTGAAGCAGTACTTTTATAATTAGTTTAATCAAAATATTCCAAAGTTATACAGTAAACCCTCCCCATAACATGGGTTCATATAACGCGGATTCGTATATCGTGGCGAAAAAATTGTGACCATATTCATATAAAGACGCTAACAGAGACTCAAAATGCGGTAAAACGTCATCGCCAACTCGTGTCACGACAGGATTGGTCTAATCTGACCAATAGTGGACAAGCAGCTGAACTACTTACACTATACAGAGAGTTTAGACAGGTAAGTTGAGTTTACTAACGTCTGTACAGTATATAGGCCTAGATTACGTACTGCAAGTCTAATACAGTACTGTAATTTTATACATTTCTTGTGAAAAAAACATTTATTCAAGGGCCATAAAAATTATTTCTATTAATGATGTCTCCAAAGTTCAACAAATTTTTCAGAGAAAAATAACTTATCAGAAAATGCGCCCGCCGTTTGGTGCGCTGCTCTGCAACGAAAACAAGCTTAAGCAATGGCATCGTTGAACGGTGCACACTCGGTAAGTAATCCTACAATTTTTTGTTTATAGCATAGTTTATAAAGATTATTCCCAAAAAATTATACGTGTTTTGAAAATGTTGAGTCAAATTAGTCTAGAATTGATTAATTTTATGAAAGAAAACCTTTCAAACAGCCATAGTCTGTAAACTGCACACGTGCCGGGCTGTGATTGGCTCATGTATTTAAAGATTCCTACAATGCAAAATTCTTATAAAGCAGAACGTATCTACTGCGTTATAGAGGGGGAGTCTACTGTATTTTGAATATTAAAACATATTTTTTAGTTTATTTTGCTTTTACTCAAATTTACTACAAAACTTTGTATTAATAGTATATTTTTTCATTTGTCTGTAAAAAAATGAATATATTATTTTGAATATACTATTTAAATTTAAAAAAAACTCAAAAATACTATTTTATTAACTAACATCAACAGAAACAGCATACAAATATAACTAAAACAGCAAATCACATCTTAAATAAAATATACATTTTTTATATTTCTATTATACCTATAACAACTGCACAAGTGTTTAACTTAAATTATACTCATGTTAAGTGAATGAATATGACTCATTCTAGATCAAACTGCTGTTATGACAAAGATCAACAAATTTTTACATCTAGTATGTCTACAACAATAATATTAATTAACAACATTGCTGATCATGTATACAGAATGTGTGAAAAAATGATGGCAAAACTTTAAGGGGTGAAAGAACATACCAACACACACATTTCTTATCATGAAAACAACAACAGAAGAACAGCAGAACAACAAAGACAATAGAGGATGCTTTCTGGCAAGCATATTATAAGAAAGTTTTTGTACACATGGTCATTTGTAATCTAGAGACATCTGAAGAGATGGGTTATTATACCAATGCTAAGAAGACCAATATGCATTTCATATATGGAGCTGGTAATGGCAATGCCATGAAAGCACAAATGTACTAATAGTATTTTCCCAATAGGCCAGTTTCCACTTAGAAAACATCTAAGCTCTTGCACTGATAACTGTGCAAGACAGGATCTTTCTTCAGTGACAGGCATCATGAAGATCATTCAAAGGATGGCGAGAATGCTAAATACAGTAGAAATTAAAGACGTTTTCCATGTTCTGTTTAATTAATGAGTCATTACTGTGTCTGCACCTCAACACTTCAAATTAGACCACACATTTTATGAAGAGAAAATGTTTGTTTTTGTGTGTTCTTCCNATTCAAACTTCAAGACACCATTAAAAATAAAAATTTCATTATAGTGAACATTTTTTTTTTTAGTTCACTGTATAAGTTGGCGACCCCACAGAAAGCCCGTCACGACCCCCTTCTGGGTCGCGACCCATAGGTTGGGAACCCGTGCAATAGAGGATGCTTTCTGGCAAGCATATTATAAGAAAGTTTTTGTACACATGGTCATTTGTAATCTAGAGACATCTGAAGAGATGGGTTATTATACCAATGCTAAGAAGACCAATATGCATTTCATATATGGAGCTGGTAATGGCAATGCCATGAAAGCACAAATGTACTAATAGTATTTTCCCAATAGGCCAGTTTCCACTTAGAAAACATCTAAGCTCTTGCACTGATAACTGTGCAAGACAGGATCTTTCTTCAGTGACAGGCATCATGAAGATCATTCAAAGGATGGCGAGAATGCTAAATACAGTAGAAATTAAAGACGTTTTCCATGTTCTGTTTAATTAATGAGTCATTACTGTGTCTGCACCTCAACACTTCAAATTAGACCACACATTTTATGAAGAGAAAATGTTTGTTTTTGTGTGTTCTTCCACCCCCTTAAAGTGTTGCCTATCATTTTTTTGCAACACCCTGTAAATGTATAGTGTGAGTGAATGCGTGTATGTGTATATTACCTATGTACTGTACTATAAAAATATTTTTTTTAAATTTATGAAACTTACAAAATTCAAAAATCTTACACAATCTTATACAAAGAATGCTTTTGATCTTACAACACACACACACACAAATCATGATGATGATGATCATCATGCACACAATAACATATTATATAACATTATGTTATGTATATTTGAAAAATTCAAACTGAAATAGTTTGAGTACCAAAAACTTAAAATAAATGTCAGTTTCAAGTTTGAATGTGTCAAACTTGTATTACATTCATCTATTATATTCAAACTGTACTGGAAATCTAAAGGCTTAGAAGTGACATTTATTTGTACTGGTATTTTCTCTAAAAATGGTTCAAGTTTGAATCAATTAAAACTTTGAATTTTAACTGATTCAAACTTGAATCAGTTAAAATTCAAAATTGAACAAATATAATAATGAATGCTAAGTAAATAAAATAACCATTAAAGTTCACTATAACTTGTTTACTTAGCATTCATTGTATTTATAATAAATTCAAAATTTCAATTCATTCAAACTCAAAACTGATGTTAGTTTGAACCAAAGAAAAGTAACCATCAGATTTTCACAAAAGTTCACAAAACTTGGCACCATTATAACAACAAAGAAACTGCTAAAATTAAGTTTACTAAAATTATTAAAAAGGTTAATAATTAAATACTTTTTGGTAACCTCAACTTCAGTAGTTTATTATTATAACCATAAGATTGCTTCTTGTTAACATTAATATTACTTTTTTGATAATTAAAATTTTTGGCTTTTATTATAATTTTAAACTAACAAAAATTAATACATTTTTTTATGTAACAACATATGCAACATATAACATTATGATATCTAATTAAACATTCAATTATATCAATACCATATCTCAAAAAGAAGTTATTTTCTTCATTAGAATAATTCATAATTTAAGTAAACAAAATTGTTAAATTTATATTTTAGAATAGTTTTTAGTAAAATTTTATAGACGTAAGTTTAATTAATTAATAAACAAGTCAAAGTCAAATGATCTAATCTGATGATCTAATCTATATAACAAAATAGTTTCAATTAAAACCTTATTTTTAATTTCTTTTTTTGATTTGCATCTTTTACTAGCTTTTTATTTCTTTACTCTTCTGTAACTGCACTTAAACAACCAACCAACCTCAACAAAAACCTTTAACATGCAGTCTTTTTTTTCTTAACTTTTCAAACATTTTCAGCCAAAGAAAATTCAAATGTTTAAAATCGTTCCAAAACAAATTTCATTTTATAGAAATATGAATCGTTTGATTTTTATTCCCGAAGAAAGTCATTCAAATGGCCAAAAACATTTGAAAAGTTAATAAAAAAGGCTGCATATTAAAAGGTTTTTGTCAAGGTTTGGCTTTCACTTCTTTATTTTCAGTAATATTCAAATAAGTATTCTTTTTTATTTTGGCAATCAATCAGTTTTAATTTTGATATTTATCTATCTATCTACAGGCATATGTGAAAGATCACAGGTCAGGATGCATGAAAATTGTATTAAAAATTCATCTTAAAAATTTATGATAAACATTATTGATTCTCGTTCTGAAATTAAGAGTTTAATATAATTTCTGTATATAAAAGTTCCTATTTAGAAATGTCAAATCTTATCTTCTTTAAATATAAATTTATAAGTATCATTTTTGTAATAAAACTTTGAAGACTGTAACTTCAAATTTCATTGTAAAATTTATTGTGTCACTTAAGTGTTCAATGTGATTTTATAGTATGATTTTCTGTAACTTTATATTATTCTTACTGGTAGAAAGTCAGCATTTTAAATTTGAAACAGTCATCATTTTGTTTTTAAATAAATATCTTCAAAATATTTTTAAATAAGAAATTTTATGAATTAAATAGACTAACTATTTTATGGTTTATATTCAGAAATAATAAATACATATGTTATATATCATTATTTCCACGCCTAATTTTTTATTTGTACTTTTAAAAGCAAAAACAAATATATATATAATAAATATCGCTAATAATTTCTTCAGCGAATAAACTACTTTTATATAATCAAGTTATTATAAACAGGCTATGTGCGATAACATTAAAAATTCGAAATATTTTCGATGAAATCGAAAGTAAATATATTTCATTAAATGTTCGGTCTCCATCTTGACAACAATTGTGGTAAGAGTAAAAAAAAATAAATAAAAATAAAAAAATTGAAATCAGTCAATTCTCGTAATTTCATATCCACTACGTTTATTATACTTTTAGCTGTGAAAAATGATTCTAACCTTTCTTTTCTGATGACATGTAGACAGTCCTGTTCTTCCTGTTACATAGGTTTATAAAAAAATTTACAATTTTTAGCGACCAAAAATTGATATAAAAATTCTCGTATCTCTAATCTCTTCCTCTTCTGACGTCACAAAATACTCTCGTTCACATATTATGACATGTTATGGTTTATTCAAATTAGTAAAATGTATACGTTGCCAGTTATATTTTTAGTGTTTATGGAATTTTATTTTGGATTTTTATTAACTTAATTTATTTGAAAATGTTTCGTATTTCATCAGAAATTAATTAATTTTGTTAATAGATAAATTAAACTTTCGAATTTATCTAAACAAATTATCTGAATTTTAACTTAAATGAGATAAAATAATCTTTGAGAATTGCAAATATCAAATTTAAACCAAAAAAGTTACAAATTAAAGAACTCAATATTAAAATAACAAACAATGTGCATTTTTAAAATTTTTGCTTTGTGACCAGTAATGAGAACACTGACTCGTAAAAAAGCTTTTATTTATGTCCTTTTTGAGTTCTGCAAGGCCCTTAATGGGGCGGCCGATGGTAAGAGAGAGGTCCGACATATCAGGAGCGGATTTCCCGTTAAAAATAGCAAAGCAATACTGGAAAAGCAAAAATATCAAATTCGATATTTTTGCTTTTCCGCGGTCTTTTTTGACCATAATTATAACAGTATTATTATCTTTTTTTATTTTTTTTTTATCGAAACCCTTAGTGTTTTGCAATTTCTATCTACTTCGGTTTGTTTGTTTTGTTTGTTAAAGACATTTGAAACATTGGAGGATCGAAACGTTAGAAACGAAATAGGAACTCAAGATTCTTGATTGAAACAAGACGTGTTTCTACGCCATTATTCAAGTTGATTATATACAGTATGTTTAAATATATTTGTCAAAAAAATTCTGTGATCAAAGTAAATAAATTAATACTTATGAGCAGTGATGACATTCGAAATATTTAACAAAGGGTTCGCTAACAGAAAACTTTTCCTTAACAATTTTTTTTTTTTTTCGCTCAAATAGTGCATCGGAAGGCTCTAGTTTAGTAGTGTTACAGAGTATAATACGTATATTTTAATATTTTTAAAAGAATCAAACCATTGAGTAATGTTACATATGTTTAACAATGTTCGGAAAACTGAAAATGTTAACAACGGGTTCGGCCGAACCTATGCGAACCCGCTGAATATCACCACTGCTTATGAGTCTGTGTCAAAGACATTTCAAAACGTATGGCCGAATGCCCGAGTAGTCAAGGTCCTGGTCGAATCTGGTTGGGTCGTAAAAGTCCCAAGAATTTTTCAGGTGGTGGTCTATTGGATATATCGAGTTCCGTCCCTCACCACTAGGCCGCCCCATTGTGGACCTGGCCGAACCCGTAATGAGCTTGCTAAAAGAGATCCTTTTATTGCCCACAGGGCGAAAAGAGTTTAAAAAAAATTTTTGGGATTAGCATAGTGAAGATTGTGTGGATTGTGTTTATATGTTGCTCACATAGAAGACTATCAAAGATTTGTTACTTGGTTATTCTTGTGTGCTGACTGGGAAAATTAATTATCATCCGGAGGTAAGTGAATCTCACTGCTAATTCATGTTTAATAAAAGTTTACTAAAATTAGACTTTTGTAGTTACATTTTGGGACTGCGTTCAGTGTGGGCGCAATGATCATACTACATCAGAGGATATCCTAAATTTGTACAGGATACAATTCTTATATAATTTGATTAATCCACCAAAAAGAGGGGATATATCCTGTGCACCACCATGTGATCTACTTCTGAAACTGAACCAGCTAGAGACTAATGGTACCAGCATTAAACAGGAACAAATGCAGGATACTATGTCCTCAGTTATGTCATCTGAGACTGTTGATGACACTAATAATCTGGAGAATCCAAATCACTCTGATTACATTTAATGCAGATTATGCCATTTTGTATTTTCAAGGGCTTTTGGCATCGTACTGTGTTATGTACTGTGTACAGTACAGTACCATGCCAAAATGCTTGCAATAACTGTGGTCATTCTCTCTTATCGGAGCAGAAGGAACCAAGAGAAAAAAAAATCACTTTATTTCATGTCCTCATCAGATGGATCAACATTCAAATCTCGAAAAAACTTAAAATATGAAAATTTACAATATAAAATAACTTACAACAAAACTATTGCTACGCAAATAAAATATAAAATAAAAACAAAAATGAAAAGAAAGAGAGTGATTAAATTTGTCTTGGGCAATCGTCTTCTAGACTCAATTTGGTTCCGAAGGATTGCGTATTTGGCAGATATTTTTTTTCTCGCCTTAATGAGTTAAATTTAGGTCTTCAGTGTAGTTCGGCCATAGTATTCAATGCACGTGATACACAACATAAAATTTAAACTTTTAACATAATTTTCCACCTAAAGTAGCGATTTTATTCTCAAAGTTAAACGCGAATTGGCCAATCAAATCTTAACGTTTTAAAATTGTTTTCTTTTTAATTTTATACACTTTTAAATTTTTAAATGTTATTTGACAGCTTACTGAGTTATTGGTCAACGAAATTTATGAGTTCGTCTGTATGTATGTACTGTACAAATATCTCCTTATTTGAAACTAAACATTCGTACTGTTTTATTCACTGTAAAGTTTGAATCCCATGTTAACATTTTCACTGACTATAGTGACAAGCTAAATAGTGTAATTATTATTTTCTTTCCGAAATAGACGGTCCACTGATGGCTAAGCGGTTCCGTTCCCTAAATACTGGGAGTTCGGTTGTGAGGTTCGATCCTCACCAAGTCGGGCTGGTCACGTGGAGTTTTCTTCACATCTGTAACGCCTGAATCAGGGCCGGCCTTCTCTATAAAGGGGCCCGGGTGCAAGAAACTATTTGGGTCCTACATTTTTTGTAAAATAAAAAAAATTACAAACACAAACATATATTAATGCATGTTTATTTAAAGCGTGATTTTGTTCTTGNGCACCCCCCCGATGGCCGGCCCTGGCCTGAATAAGGGTTAGTTACTCTGAAAAAGACCTTTCGGAAGGCATTCTGCTAAGCAGATCGCCCAAATGTTGCGTTGCCGTAATGTAACGTCCCAAATATAGGTTTATTTGACAGTTTAAATCAGTCATCTTTTTATAAACTTTTTATTTTTATGTTAACATATTTATTTTTAATTATTTATATTTATTCAATAAAATGCTTGATTATTAATAAAAATGAAAAAAATAAAAATTATAAATAGAAATTTACACAGAAAAGTAGAGGGCATTTAACTTGTAAGTTGGCAACTTTCACTTCGAAGTAAAATAAAACTTTTTATGAACAAAATTTATATAGAATATTATAAATTCATTGATAGGCTATATCGAATTAAAATAAATTAATCAATATATTATACAGGAAATCACCAGAATACAAATTTGGTAATTTTATGGTTTTATCCATGGAGTTCATATATTTCGTGGTTTTATTGTGTTATTTATTAAATTGTTTTGAAGTTAAAGATTTAAATATTCCTTATTTAAATCTTGTGGATTTGTTGAAATAATAATCTACACTTTAATTTCATTAACCAACAATTTTTGTTTCTTAAATGTATCATATAAAGATGTTTATATGCATTCATTTTTAATTATTCCATTAAAGTAATCTAATCAGATATATACATAAAAATTAATTTCAGTAAAGTTTTGCATAGTGTATACTGTATATTCATCTACAGGAGAATCTTGCTATATTCACTTTGGAACTTGCCTGCATTGATGATGGTAGCTGGTTGATAACATTAATTTGAATAAGTATATTGACTCTGCCATTAAAAAGTTATGTTAAAACAAATAAAAAATTTGTAACTTGTAGATTAATTAATTTACTTTACTTTATCCAATATTATTATCTTGTTATGTGCTTTTTTTTTCAGTACCATCTTTTATAGCAGCTAATGTATAATTGAAGTAAGAAATGTCAGCAATTTAAAACATTATGCTACAAGTAAATAACAATTAAAATAATTAATGTTTGATGTTTAAATCAAGGTTAAGACTGACTGATAATGAAAATTGATAACAATTGTATGTTATCAACATGTATTGAGGCTGATAGCATGAAAACATAGCTTAAAAATGATTGTTTACCTTAAGATAATAAGTATTTTGCCTAGTAAAGTGACTTTAATACAGTTGGATAAGCAAATGAATGACGTAGTCCATTTCATATGAAACAGACTATTTCATTGGCTTGCTTATTCAACTGTATTAAAGCTGTTTTACTAGGCAATGTGCCCAATGACAACTGTAACTGAAACTTTGCTTCAAAATAAACACACTAAAACTAAAAATATCCAGCAAGAACAAACTTTAATAAACTAAACAAAACACTGCTTATTGTAAGCAATGCAATAATAAGCAAAGTTTTATAAGTTTAATTTGCATGTTTTGAGGCATGTTAATTCTCATAATATTAGACAGGTGATAATAGTTGTGATTACACTAAGAAGATTCTTCTATGTTAACTTTCAGATAGAAGTTGAATATTTTACTATTAAATTTTACTTTGGAATCAAATATATAATCATTTTTTAACAAATTGCTTTAATGTTTATAATTATGAAAATGGGTAATAATGAAAGTTATAATTTTTTTTTGTAAGAACAACAATGCTTTTTCTTTTCTTATGACATGCGTGATTTATCTTTGGACATAATTGAAATGAACTCTATAGCTCTAATCAGGAAAATAACCTAGTAATTGATAAAAAAATAAAAATTTCAAATAAATTAACTTATAGCCTAATTGGATTATATTGAAAAACTTTATTCTGGCAGCCAAATTAAATTTATTCATATACAAAAGAAAGGAAATTATACAGTTCTAATCAAGTGAAAACAAAGAAAAATATTAAGTGCATGCAATTTTCTAAATTTTTCTTTTGTTTTTTAAATCCTTTATAATTTCTTACATTCTTGAATCATCATCAGAATTATATATACTAGTAATATATAGTTTATTCTTATCTTTTCACTAGTTAAATTTAGTTCCAATATTTTTTGTGACAAATATCAGCTTAATTAAGTATATTCTTGTGAGTACTATGTTGGCCTCTTTATTCCTAGATTTATTACATCATCACTGGACACACGATCAGCCTTCGAAAATCAATTTATTTTCCCAAAAAAAGTAATCATTTCAGACCTTAAGTCGCTCATCAGTTTTTTCTACAAATATTTATGAAGTTGATACATCCACATTTATGAAATGCGCAACAAAATTTCAACATTTGGTAAAATACCAGTAACAATTCCAATCATTAGGTATATATAATCAATTGTATTAGTACATTGTTTAGAGTAATACAATCATATACTTCAAAATGCACATGAAATCTCCATAGTTGGTAAATCGTTGATTACAGATCCAAGTATTAGTTTGATTAAACGTGTTGATTCAGTATTTAGAGCAGTATAATTAAAATAAACAGTATACATAATAAAAGACACTGTTAAAACAATAAAATAATAAAATGATTTACTGTACAGGTAACCCCCGTATAACACGGTAGTTACATTCCAAAAAATTGCCATGTTATGCGAATCCATATTATGCGAATCAAAGAACTAGTACGAAAAGGAGGGTTAGGTTCCAAAAATTAAAAAACATTCTACTATATTTTCATAATTAAGATAAATATCTTTATTAAAATTTTCTTAAGTGATACATATTAATATAAATTAAACAATGTTTTCTTTTGTCATCACTAAAAGCACTATTAACCGAGAGCGTTTTATTTTTGGCAAATTATCGTTATCCTCTGAGCATTTTTCTGCATTATTTTCAGATTCATGCTTTACCTTTTGCAAAAAGTGTATTTAATTTTAGATTGCTTGCTTCTAGTTAAAAGATCTTTATAAATTTCCTTATATGGTGCTAAGCACTTATGGAATAAGGGGGAAAACATCTGGCAACACCAGAAGCAGAAGCATCAAAATATGGCAAAATTGAAACCGTTTTCGCGAAGGACTATGTGTATGGAGAAAAGAAAATTTACACATTGAAGTACTAATAGTTCACGAAAATAATAATTTTCATAAACTATTAGTACTTAAGTGTGTAAAAATTTATTACATTTCATGTTGTACGAGGGTTTTACCCATTTCTTGAACCATGTCAGAGTGGATCCGTGTTATTAAAGTACCATGTTATACAGGGGATGGTACCAATTCTCGAACCGTGTTAGAGTGAATCCGTGCTATAGAAGTGCCGTGTTATACGGGGGTTACCTGTACTATACATTTAACTTAAATGTACAGTACAGTGAATCATTTTATTATTTCATTGTTTTAACAGTGAATCAATTATTATTTATTCACTGTTAAAACAATTTGGAATGTGCAGAACACTTGAAATTAACAATTTTATGGAGTTAGAATTTAATATAGAGGAATAAAAACAAATTAAACAATTTTTAATTACTTATGTGCATCAACAATGTCATCAAGAGAAAAATTCATAATAATGTATTTTTGTAATATTTAAAAGTAAATCATTCTATTCTTGTAAAATTATCAAAAATAAATTTTTTTCTGAAGACATGATTATCTTATATAACTAAAGATTTTAATGATTAAAAGATAGTGCAAAATTTCAACCTCAAAAGTTTTTTGTCTCACTACAACCATTATCATCATTTATTAAATCTATAACTTCTTAATTGGCCTGCAATTTTTAAAACTTGTAGACCTATAAATTCCAACTGGTGTCCATTTGTTTGTCGCCCTTCCTTAATCTCAAGAATGAGTTAGATAGGTGAAAGTTGAGACCAGACATGGAAAGCTTAGGTGCAGGAGGCCCTGATTACAAACTTCTGATTTGGACCAGAAGTTATGTTATTTCAATTAAAAAATTTTCTCCCGAATGGAATTAGGTAGATGAACTGAATTACTTCCTTGTTAACAGGAAAAATATGATTTACAGGGGCAAGACACTACTAAAATTGAGGGCATTGTCACAAAAAATGCAGACCAGTGTTGTGACAATGTCATAATAAACAATTGCTTGTATTAAATTAATATGTTTGTAGTAATGTCATCTTCAATCAAACTGCCTCTCAACCGAAGAAAAAGATTGAGATTGGAATGCCTTAGCACAAGTACATAATGCATTAATATACATATATATTTACTGAGTTACATACAGGAATGGATCAATAGTTGTGTTTGCCATATAGTTATTTCTAGCAACATTGTGACCCCCTGTTAATCATTATGTGAGATTACTACTTGGGCAACTAATAGCAACTTGATGATTAATTTGATAAAAAGTAGTTAGCTGTAATTGATATTGATTTAGCAGATTTTGTAATTGATTTTTGAAGATTAGAGCAACATTTCCAGACAATGAAGTAAAATTACAAGAGATATTTGGTTACCTATTATAATCATAATTATGTCTGATATACTGACACAATCCTAACATTTTTATAGATTCTTTAGTAATGTTAGAATGAGCAGCATACTTCATTAAATGATTAAGTGTTACAAAGTTATGATTTACAAAGTTACTTCTATATAGATAGAAGTGCTTATCAGCTTAGGATGATATCTTCCACCTGTACAAGGATTGCCTCCCAAATAGTCACCATACAGTGAAGCCATATGGATTCCATTGTAATGCCTGAGATAGCAAACTATTATTCTGGTTGAGTAAATTTTAGTTTAAGATTAGTAGTCTTCCAGAGAGGAAATCTTGGAAGTCTGTAAGATGGACAATATACATGGTGGGTTCTTCACTGTGGTCTAAGAATATTCTTTAGAATAATAGAGATAAAAGAGTTGCTAGCCAGACAGTTGAAAGAGAGTCTTGCATGTAGGAAAGTTGCTATATTTTCAAATGTTGGACTACCAGATATTTATGTTTATTCTACTAATATTCTACTAGCATTGGAATGCTAGTTGTAAGATGTTTACAAGAACTGAGAATCAACGATTTATTTTCAAAACTATAATTCTCTCTCTCTTGATCTTTTCTTTTCATTTTGTAAACTAATACACTTGACGAAGAGGGCAAGAAACCCTGTTTGGGTTAAGTTAGCATCTGTCAGTCCTATTACGTCTTTAACTGTTTATGAAAGATAGAGAAATTAATCACCTAATGCTTATAGTTATAATCAGTTTCTACCTTAACACACTATTTAAAATTAATTAGATATTTAAGAAAATTTTATTCATGTCTCAATCAAATATTCTTATACATTAACTGATGGCCTGGGTGTCTAGATTTCTAACTGAATTTAGACCAAAGCCAACTACTATAGGGGTATTCATAATGAGAGCTTTTCTTGCTTTTAGAACTGACTGATAAAACAGCTATGAATTGCAAACATGCATGTGGACTACACGGTTTCAGGGAACTAATAATGCCATCTACAGACAAAAATGGAAATGTGGGCAATTGAATGATATAATAGAAAACAGTAAGTTTATCTTGTCTTCTCTAGAATTTAATACAGCAATAAGGCTGTTCTGCATCAAAATTCTTCTGTAAAAGTAAATGTGATATTTTATATATTTTAATGTGCTGAATATAAATCTGTAGTCCAAAATCTAATACTCAGTTTTTTTTAAATACAACATTTTGTGGAATAATGCTGCTTTTAGACAAACTTTCTATTACTGTTGTTTGAATAAAATATGAAACTTGCGAAATATTTGCTTAATGTCAGGAATTGTTTTAAAAGGACCCTCCTGGGTCAGGTGCTATATCTTAGTAGGTTACAGGTGCCAGCTATCAGGTGCCAGATGGCCCCATTCACCCACCTGTCAGGTTAAGAGGTGTGGCCTGTCAGCTATATAAGATCCAGCAGAGATCCAAGGAACTCAGACACACACGCACTCACACTCTCTCTCTCTGACTCAACATGTCATGCAAAAACCAGTCAGATTATTTATGCTACATTTATGGAGAACTGACTGAAAGCACAATGAAAATCACTGATGTCTCTAGTGAAGAAAGCATACCATTGTCATTTCAGCTATAAGATAGGAGATCAAGACAAAATCTGGGTTTCTAAAATATGCTGTAATTGGTCATGTGGACACTGACTGGATGGTTGAAGGGCACACAGAAATCAATGTCTTTTGCTGTCCCTATGGTCTGGCAGAAACCTCAGAATCATGTTTATGATTCTTACTTTTGCATGACTGACATCAAAGTCTTTACAGCAAAATCAACAAGCAAGATACAATATCCCAACTGTGCTTTGACTAGTGCACCATAATGAATCAATGCCAATATGAGTCCCACCTCTGAATTTCACGAAAGATTCAGAACAGGAATCCAATCTTGAAAATGCCTTGCCAAATGACATTCAAGTTGTGATGAGCACCTATCATGGAGTCCGATAGAAGAGCTACAGTTCATCAGTATGTATTGGTTGAATGATCTGATTCATGATTTGGTTCATTCAAAAAGAAAGGCTTGCCTAGTTGCATCACATCTCAGCAATGGAAACTTTTGGAGAAAGAAGTTAAGGTTCTCAAGTAAGACAGCTTTTGAAGGATCATAGTTTCAAGGAAAAACTTAACCCAACAGAAGGGACAGCATGGGACACATTCAGAAACATGAGCAAGAATTTTTTGGGGAATGTATGAGCTAACAACTATGAAGAAATCATGGAGAAGTTTGTAATATCCTATCAAACACAGGGTTACAATATGTCACTCAAAGATGCATTTCCTGCATTTCCATTTAGATTTTTTTCTGCCAATCTAAGAGCTGTTTCTGATGAACATGGCAAAAGAGTCCATCAGACTCTTTCTCAAATGGAAAAGTGGTATAGTGGAATGTGGAATGAGAAAAAGTCAATAGATTACTGCTGGACTACAGCAAGAAACTTCAGAAGAAGAATATAAAAGAAAGAAAATGTGTCATTAAGAATAATTAACACAGATTTATTTGTATCTAATTAGCCAATTAGCAACGTGTATAGCCAGTGGCAGACTGGATCTAAAAATATTGTTTGCCAGGAGACAAAAGAGACCCACTCACAACTCTAAAGCTATCGTTTAATTTTTATAAGAAACTAGCTTACCCGTCGTGCATTGCTGCAATCTCAGAAGAAAGGAAATTCAAGCAAACTCGTTATGATAAAATTCAATCTACATTTTATCATTTTTATTGAAACTTATTATTATTACATTATTATTATTATTCATTTTCATCGGGAAAACATTTCAAAGTGTTGTTTCAATTCTATTTATTTATTGGAGTGCTTGTGGATACATGGTATTTTTTGTTTTTCCGTCTGGTGCGTACACGAATAAATCAGAAGGTTTTCGGACGCATGAGCTGGCCACATACAGTTGTACATGCGAGAAGCATGGATTCTTTAAATTTAGCCCACATACTCGCAGAGATTGTCAGAAGTGCGATATTCCCCATTTTTATATATATTTTTAAATCCTTTATAATTTTGATTATTTAATTGCTCCTTCCTCTCTTCCTTGGCATATTATGAAATTTCTGATAGTTGGATAATAAACCGTTTTATTGTAATTTGTCTTTTTAAATTATTTTGAGTTGATATTAAAATTTAGAAAAGGGGGGATCCCTAGATCGGTAAAATAGGCAAATTTCCTCCTACAACTTCAGTTGTTGTTCGGGATACAGTTAAGGTTTTAACAAAGTTCGAGCTAATACGTAATTAGCAAAAAAAAAGTTGAAATAAAGTGATTAAACAAAAATTATTAAAAATATTGTAAATAACAGTTCACAAATGCATATATAGAAATATTTTTTGGAAGGGGGGAAATGGTCTTCACAATTTGAAATCGATCACACACACAGTGAAATGCTCGTATACACGCGCGCCATCTATCGTAGGATAAATGTACTATGCCAGAAACCTTCGCGTTAAAAAACTTCCCAAAGCTTAATGGCAATCGTACTATGCCAGAAACCTTTGTGGGAGTATATTAAACAACTTCCCAAAGTTTCATAGCAATCGGATAAATGGTGTGGTAATGCATGAAGGACAGACAGACACACACACACATACATTCATTTTTATATATATAGATAANTTAAATTAAATAGACAATTTTTAATAAAACATTTTTTGTTTCTATTAATGAAATCTAAATTAATATAAAAAATGAATATAAGTACATACTTCCAAACAGAACACAAATAATCCAAACAATTGAAAGAAACTAAATACCAAGGGATCTCTGAATAATATTTTAACTTTCCATCATTTTTGAAGAAACAAGACAGCAGCACATCGTATGCCGAGATTTAAACTTCAGTCTCTCTCCATTTTCACACCGTAAGCAGTGACGGACCGGGTATAAAAATTCGGTTGCCAGCAGACAAAACAGGCCCACGTAAGGCTATTATTTAATTTTACACAAAATAAATAAAATTTTCAAACAACACATATATGGAAGAAAGATGCAATTAAAATTTTTGCTAAATAAACATATATTTTTTATAAATTCTAATGTATTATACAGTACATATTTCAATATATAGTGATACTAAGTGTAAATATAGATTGCTATAATTGACAATGGATAACAACATATATGATTCCAAATTCTCCTCAGACAGTGAATTTTTTGTTTTTTTAATTTTAGCTTTGAAAATGTTTTCTTACATTTCAAAGCTTTTACAATACAATGTTTCAGATGACTTCATAAAGTTTGTAAAGGTTATCATATGGCTTGTCATGAAGTCTGTTGGATGCCAGAACTTTTAGTACACAATGGGCAAGTGCAACAAATTTTACACTTGTTACAACTTAGATCCATATTCCCACAATCATTAAGCAGTACCTTGTAGCAGTACGGGATTCTTGTTACTAATGAAGAAAGCATAGAAAGAATCCCGGTAATGTACAACCCACAACTAAACATTAAAACACTTATAGCACGCCACCAACAACCTAAGAGTACGGCACTTCGGAATAACCAGCCCTTTGTTCCTATTACTTACAACAAGATCCTTCATAGCACCTACAAACAAATCGCTCGGTATGCTGGTAAAAATATCGCTTACAGAAGATCGCAGACCATTTTCTCCTGTTTACGAAACGATAAGGACCGTCTTGATAGGAACTGTGTTCCGGGAATATATTCTATCCCTATTTACGATCATAGGGTGAATCGTCCGGACGAATATATTGGTGCTACCGCACGCTGTCTTAAAACAAGGGTCAAGGAACACAAGTACTCAATTCAAAAACGCCTTCCCAATACAGCTTTGGCCGCTTTCGCGCTTGATGATGACGTCAGGGTGGAATTTGATAATGCACGTTTAATACAACGGTGTGAACACCAGGCCAGCCTGAAATATCTAGAACAGCTGGAAATTTTTAAAGCATTCAGAAAGGGAACAGCCATCAATTTCAAGGAAACAGACTCTTTGGCGATGGCGTGGAGGGCGTATTATGACGTATAATGGATGCGCACCATATATGTCTACACTATAATATAAACATCAGATTTTTGAAGCAGGAAACCAATTACACGAATAATTTTATTAAGACCCTGCATCGGACATGCGCATAACTGCGATGTTCGATTTTTTGAAATCTTGGATTCGAACCTGATGATGACCATTGAAGATGGTAGAAAACATTCGTTTTTAAATTGAATTTATGCTGGTATGTTGGTAATTTCATGGTTATGTTCTTAAAAATAATATATAATGCAATTGCAAAGAAAAGAGGAATTAAGATTGCATACAGAAGATGCCCTTCCATATACAGTTTATTGAGGAACAGAAAGGATACCCATAACCCAAACAGGCTTCTGGGAATATATAGCATCCCTTTGAAGGATGACAGATGAGATAGGCAATTAATTTACATCGGGTCCACCAAATGTCCATTAGCCACTAGAGTAAAGGAGCATAAGTCAGACATCACCCATAATAAATGTACGACGGCATTGTCTACTTATGCGACAAACCTGGGCATAACACCAATTTTTAATGAGGCACGGGTTATCCACACTACCCATCATCAAGAACGTCTAAGAACTTTGGAAGCAGTAGAAATTTTTAAGGCCGATCGCAAATTAACGTGCATTAATTTTAAGGATGAAATTAGTCTCTCAATGGCTTGGCAATATTTATTAGATGATAAATCATAAATTGATGAGTGATAAATGTAATTACTATAAGGTGCACATAACATATCCCCATTGATCAAAAAGGAAAATTAATTTGAAGCGGCTCATGGATTCCTTCCATATTCAAGCTTTAGGAAGCAGAGCACATTCCTAGTTAAAAACATTCAAATTAAAGAATCCAGTTCCAACAGAAAAAACAAATTTAGCCTGAGGAAGAGCCCAGGAGGGCATCGAAAATGTTTGCTAAATGTTTAAATGTTTTTGGATATTTCACGCCAGTTATTGGTTATATAGAGTGTGCTTTGTTTTATACAACCCGATGTAATGAGAAGCTTTAGTTAGTTATCTTTTTATTAAATCTTCCAATGCCTTTGGTCAGTTGATTGACCTTCTTCATGAAATAATCAAACAATTCCAATTTCTACAAAACAAAACCTATTTTAGAATGTTTTTAAACTTTCTTAATGTCTAGTGCACAAGTCTGTTATCAATACATGAATAGATAATTAAAATACATGGGATAATAACATATGAACATTTGAATAAACTAAACATAAAACAAAAAAAAAATACAAATAAAACTAAATAATAAAGTAACATAAATGATAACATAACAGGAAACAACTGTGTGTCTATTTCTTTAACTGTCCATGCCTTTTTCTTACTGATATTTATATTAAACCTGCTCTCCATGCCGCTGAGACTTTATATGATTCTTTAAAGTTTATCGCTCATCCTGATTGATCATTCTTGTGTATATGCCATGCTTCTGTGTATTTAAGGTGTCTCCTGTCCTGAATCTTTCATATTACTTCTGCTCTTTCTTACTCCACTGTAACCCTTATGCTATAACATAAGTTGCTAGTGCAGTGATTGGCTGCTCATGCCATACATTCCTTTTATGCTCTTTTATCCTTTCTTTTAATGGCCTGCATGTGGCTTCAATGTAATACAGCTTTTTTGCAGCCTTTCTCTTGTACAAGTATTCTGTAAATTTCAGGAATAAGGCTCTGGTCTATAGCTTCCTTGTCTGTACACATCATACACAATTATTGTCTTTCAGGAGAATTATTTTGCACCATTTCTACAAGTTAAAAATATGACAATTAGTCCCTCTAATATAGACAAATAGTTAAAATATTGATGGCTTTAATTGTCATAATTTGTCAGCTTAAAGCTGATGGCTTTTGCCATAAAATCTGTACTAATGAAAATAAGGTCAAAAGGAGTTATACTTGTCACTTAAGAAAGTTACAAAAACCAGTTTAGCAAGAAAAGATGCACTTTGTATTGATAAATACCTCTTACATCTTTAACCTGTAAAGTTATCTGTATACCATATACCAGTGCATAATATGCAAACTGAAAATTATGCAATGGTGTATGACCAACAAATATAGCATTAGTGAATTTTAAATTGTAATTAAAAACTTCTGCCTAGGCATAATTTCTCCATAATTGTGAAGGATATACATCATTATGGGTTATTTGTGCAAAAATATGATCATTTATTTATTTTTAAATTTAATAGAGTTTAAAACTATTTACAACTTTTTAAAATGGTACAACTTAATGTGATTTCATATAATTAATAATAATAATAATTCTTTAACAATATTTTTACAGGAATATGAAAATTTAAGTAGAAGCATTTTATTTAAATTGTTTTTACTTAAATTTTTAGTTAAACCATCACTCATGTCTAAATCTAAGAATGTGAATTTTAAAGTTGGTGTAGTATTACCTGCTGCAGGAAGTGGTGAAAGATTTGGATCAGATATCCCAAAACAATATTGCCATGTTCTTCATAGACCAATTATTTTGCATGCTATTGATACATTTTTAAGGTATTTTTAATTATTTTATTTTTATTTTGTAACAGTTTCTCTTATGATTTATAGATTTACTATTATATTATAAATTTTTCAATAAAATTGAATTAATTATAAAGTAACAGAATACAATATAATAATTGATTTCTTTGGCATAAATAAATATAAACCAAATTATGATTCCATATCACATGACTCCATTTAACAGATTAATAAATAAATAAACATTAGCAAACAACCGGGAAGTCCAGAGAAATGCTTTTATTCAATAAAATGTTTTATAGAGCTGTTACATCCCAGCTTTGGCTCATTTGAATTGAACAAAAGCAAAGAACAGCATTTACAGAACTACTATGAAATCCAAATGATCTGAAGCTGGATTGTAATGGTTCAATATAACATTTTATTGAATAAAAAATTTCTGGGGCCTCTTTGATTGTTTGCTAATGTTTCTTTATTTATTAAAATAAAACAGCTGTAATAAAGAAGTCAAGCTGATTTATTTATTGTAAATATTTTTAAGAAAAACAAATGTTTCAATTTTCAGACTATAATAAATTTTTTATATTAAACTCAAATTATATTGAACATAAATAGCTATACAACATTTAAATATATAATAAGAAATTAATTGAAATATAAATTGACAACATTGAAGCAGTTCAGAATATTCAATAAGTTTAACAGAGGAAGTGAATGAAGGATGGCTCATGAATCCAGTTTCAGTACAGGATGAGATAGGATAGGATGATCGGGGCCAGATTTATAGTGGTTAAGCTAAGCTGTCAGTGTTTCTGAGACCCCCATATCCTATTAGAGTAGATTAAAAAAAAATTTAATTGAAATGAAAAATGTGTAATTAAAAAAAATTATTTTTTTTATTTTTATACTAAGCAAATTTTGTTTAACAATATCAATAATTTTAAATTTTTTTTATTTTTGCATATAAAAAATGACTATAAATAATGGCAAACTTGTTATTTGAATATAGTTCATTTTTAAGTCTTATAAACTGTGAAAAGAATTGTTCCCTGAACAGTTTGTCCATATTACTCTTAAGAAGAGTCTGAGTATAACTTCCACATTAGGAAAAGCTGACTATATTTTACCTCCAGAGATTATTTGGTACAGCATAGTTAATTGTGTTTATATGTGAATAATTTTTTCCACATATGCAAGAAAATGTTCCAGTTCTTCAACTAAGTTAAATTGATGTTAGCATCATCAGGATAAGGTTACATCAGCACAGTCACTTCTTCTTTTCCTTGGCCTTTTCTCAACTGTACAGTGTTGGCACTTTCAGTCTTTGTCTTCCATTTTATCCTGTCCAAAGCAACTTCTACAGAGACTGTGCACTCCTCCATATCACATTTAAGGGTCTCATTCCAGAACTTTTTAGGTCTTCCTTGCCTTCTTGACTCTTCCACTGATATTCCCAAGACTCTTCATACTGGGGCTGGTTGGAATAGCACAAACCCAAACTACTTCAGTCTATTTTCTCTCAATTTTTCTTCTATCTCCATGAAGCCCAAGTTTCCCCTGATGTAATTATTTCTCACATCTTTCCTTATGACACTAACCATCCATCTCAGCAACTGCATTTCTGCAATGTGTTCTCTGTGCCTCCTCTTTCTTCACAGCCCAGCACTTTGAACCATTCAACATTGTAGGCCTAACAACCATTTTATAAAATTTTCCCTTTCTTGGAGGCATTCTTTTGCCACAAAGTACCTTACTAGCCCTCTCTAGTTAGTCCAACCAGCTGAGACTGTTTGTTATATCTTCATCAATCTCCACATTTGCTGTTTGTTATATCTTCATCAATCTCCACATTTGCTGGAGTACTGACCCCAAATATCTGAATCTTTCATTCTCACTCCTTCAATTTTCATGTCAACTTCATTCTCAGAAGCACCTTTCCCAAAAGCACTTTTCATATACTCTATTTTCTTTCTACTAATCTTTAACCCTTTTCTTTCCAGTCTTTTCTCTCTTTTTTCCAACTTGTGGTCTTTAATAATTTTAAAATGCACATACCATAAGCTTTATACCAGTGTGCAAACGTTTTCAAACTGAAGAAGAACCGTAACAGTTCGAAAACGTTTGCAACGATAGTGAGTAGGAGACTCACATCAGTATAAGGCTTATGGTATGTGCATTTTACATTAATCTGGTGTAGAAATTATACATTTTTTAATAACTTTAATTTGTCTTTAATAATTATAATAACTAAAACATTTTCAATCGTTTTTAATGACTTTCCTCAAGTAGAATACATAATGAAATGCCAAACTAGTTAAGATGCCTACTTTCTAAAATACAAATTTAAACATTAGGATCAGTCCCATTAACAAATTGTAAAAATGAACTCATAACTGTGAACAAATTCAAAAATAATAACATAACAAATAAAGGAAAATATATACCTACTGTAAATACAAAAATAAAATAAATTAAACAGTTCACACCATATTCATCATAGGGCTTCAAGTCACTTAGAGTAGTCAGTATTCAAAAAGAACTTGCATGCTTCAAAAGAGAGTTGATGTCTTTGAAGTTGATAGAATTACTCCACTGTTATTATTTTTGAATTAGTTTGCAGTTACGCATTCTTTTTAATGATTTTTTTAACAGGTTTGATTACAATGATTAACTTAATTGATTACAAATGTTTAATTAATTTTAACTTGTATTTAGCATTCAATTATGTATTCTACTTGAGGAAAACTTAGTGTTTCTGACTGTTATAAATAAATAGATTTACACTAGCATATGACTAGCATATCTTATAAACACATAAGCTAACAATAATGACATGTTAGAAAAAGTAATGTCACCAATAGTATTTAGCTTAGAAAAACTGTGTTGATTGAAATAATTAAAATTATTGCAGTGAGAGTTTAGAATTGTAATGTAACTAGACTTTGCAAGAATTTTGCATTACTGAATAAGCTTACTTCTTTCACTTGAAACTAACTGTTTGAAATATTCTAACTTCATTGGAAAATCTAGTTTAGGAATAATGTTTCATAATTCATTTTATAACTATTCTGTCTAATACTTACCTTAAAATCACTATGACACTTTTTTCTGTCACAAAAAAAAGATAAAAATAGCAACACTGAGAATCAATGAATCATCATGAAATTTTTGAACAAGTCAGCAAAGCAAAAGAGATTGGCCCAAGTAAGGAGCAATGCAACTGGGGTTAAGCAAAATGAGTGAAGCAAGTGGAAATTAGCTCTTCATGGGGGTTGAATTGTCACAAAATATTTATGAATAATTTATATTGGGAACAAATGGGTGAAGCAAGCAGGGAGTTGTGCTGCCATGACAGCCAGGGAAGGAGCAAAACCCCCTAGTATATAAATAAAATATACATTAAATTTCAAAATTATGATTTATATATGAGTTGAATATACAGTTGACCTTAAAACAAACAGCTGTAAAGCAAATTTTGTCATTGCCCTGGCAAAACACCATTGCCAGAATGTTAATTTTTACTTGACAAAGTGAACAAAAATTTTCCAGAATTTATTAAGCCAAACTGTAAATTACCTTCACAACTCCCAAGAAATAACCCCATTTCCAGTAATGGTTGCTTTTTACACTTTTCAACATGAACAATAAAAAATAGTATTGTAATAAATGTTCTGTTTTGAGTAGAATATATTTCCTTCTATAAGCAAAGAAGGTTCATCCTCTGATTGTAGAGCAGTTCAAACATTTAGTTTTAGCAAACCATTCTATTTTACTCATATAATAGAGGTTAAAGTTTATGGATGCTCATCTCTTTAGATGGCTGCAGTCACCAAGCAAACAAATGCTAGTTTGCATATTGGAGAGTGCATACAATGATGCCAAGTTTTGCTACTTATGCCAAATTTGGCTCCATTTTTACCCTTTTGGTGTCAAAACATATGTTCTATTTTTACAATCTTCAACAGAAAAAATTGTGGATTTCTTTTAGCTTTGTTTTGTTTAACCACTCTGATACACTGCTCCATACTTAAAATTTAAGTATTCATCATTTAATGATGAATACTGTCTCCTCTTCATTTTGTTGGGGTTTGATAGGTCATTTCATTTATAGGTCTACAATTTGAAAAAATTGTAGCCATATAAATTCGCACTGTTGTCTTTCTGTCTATCTGTCCTTCCTTAATCTCGAGAATGGAATTAGATAGATGAAAGCTGCGACCAAATATGGAAAGATAAGAGGCAGGATGCCTCGATTAACTATAGGGTTGGCAACTAAGTGATTGCGGATTTTAAATAAGAAGGAAAATTCAAAATTTTTCTTAAAAATATAATTTTATTCAATTAGGTATTGTCCATTTTTGTCAATGACCTCTTGCCATCTTTCAGGCAGTGTCATAATTCCATGTTCATAAAACTTCTGATTTTTGCCAGCAAAAATCTGAATTAAATGTGTTTTTACATCATCAGCGTCATTAAAAATTTTACCATTTAAGGAGTTCTGCATGGAACGAAGTAAATGGTAATCTGAAGGTGCAAGGTCAGGGCTATATGGTGGATGTGACAACACATCCCAACCTAGCCCCAATAATTTTTGGCGAGTGGCCAAAGATGTGTGGGGCTTTGCATTGTCATGCTGGAAAACAACACCCTTATGATTTACCAATTCTGGCCGCTTTTCTTGAATTGCATCGCTTAGTTTGGCAAGTTGTTGAACATACACATTTGAATTAATCATTTGGTTTCTTGGTAAAAGTTCAAAGTACAGAATTCCTTTATAATCCCACCAAACTGACAGCATAATCTATTTTTGGTGAATCTCAGCTTTTGGTGTCATCTGGGCTGGTTCATCTCCCATCACCCACGATCTTTTCCGATTAACATTGCTATAAACTATCCACTTTTTGTCACCAGTAATCAGTCGTTTCAGAAATGGATCAATCTTGTTGTGTTTCAGAAGTGAATCGCAGATGCTAATGCATTGCGTCAAATGAATTTCCTTAAGCTGATGAAGGACCCATAAATCCACTTTCTTGACATAGCCAAGCTGTTTTAATTTTTTTTTGAATGCATGTATGTGATATATTGAGCTTCTGTGCCATCTCACGCATTGTGCTATGACGATCTGAATTGATAATGGCCTTGATATGGGTATCATCAACTTTAACTGGACGGCCAGATCGTTGAGCATTTTTCAGTGAAAAATCACCAGAACAAAATTTGTCAAAACAATTTTGATACTGCCTTTCTTTCAAGGCTTCGTTCCCATATATGGCACATAACTTCTTGTGTGCTTGTGATGCGTTCTTGCCTTTTCGGAAATAATACAATAAAATATGTCTGAAATGCACGTCTTATTCTTCCATTTTTAAATTGGGATAAAAATGAAACTAAATAACTAATCAATACAATTTTTTACTAAATTAAAGGTGGAAGTCCAAACAACAAGAAAACAATATAGGTTAAATGCTCTGAACACAATGACAAAGCAAAAAAATGTGCTAATTGATTATTGACCTATTGACAACCTACCTATTGACAAAATCTGCAATCACTTAGTTGCCAACCCTATATATATGAACTTCTCATGCAAACTGAAGTTATCTTACTTCAATTTAAAAATTTTCTATTGAAGAGAGTTAGATAAATGCATGACTCCATTGTTAAGAGAAAAGTATGATGTAAGGGACAAGACAATACAGTCTACAGTACTCATTTGAGGTGGAGAGCATATATATTCAATTAAAAAGATATGATTAAAAATTGCAGCCAACTTTGTGATGATATTTTGATTTGAAAATCATTTAGAACATTAACTTATTTTTGTAAATAAATTTAATTTTATTTAGTAAATTAATTCAAAATATTATAATTTTGAGATTTCGATCATCTATTAATTAAATCTTAACATTCTAAATTATACTACCTTGGCCTTGACAATTGTTAATATGAATTTTTGATAAAGTGAGCTAACTACTGTTCCCCTAATGGTTCATTTTAATGCAAATTGTCTATATTACATTTTAAAATTACAATCTCTATTAATAATAATGTTATTACTGGAGATTGTTATTTTATTCATCACATTTTTATTTTTTAAAGTATTCTCTTCCACTGCATAATAACACAACATAGCTATATGTTTGTTAACACAACTAAGCTTTGCAAGTGTAATCATTTATTGTAAAAATTTTAAACATATATATGATAGTATTAATAATTACAGTAGTATTTAATGAATGTTAAAAAATTTATTTAGAAAAGAAAACTTTAATTTTTGTTAAATTTAAGATATATATATAGGGTATCCTATTTGTTAAAATTTTGTTTAACTATAATTTTTACTATAAAAGAATTTAATTTTTTACATTAATTCTAAAGAAAACTATTATATAATTATTTATTGACATTATGAACAGTTGACTAATTTATAAATAAAGGTTATTTATAAAGCTTAGGAGTCAGTTAAGTTTTTTACTATTTTTAAAATTAAAATTGAAATATTAATCATTTCAAAATCTTTGATAATTTCAGACAACCTTGGATTCATAAAATTGTTATAGTATCTTCAGAACTTGAACAAATGTACAAATATTTATCTGAATATTCTCCTGAAAACTTTAAAAAATTACATGTAACTATAGGAAGTTCTACTCGGCATAAATCAATTTATTGTGGGCTTCAAGCATTGGAAAAAATTGGTAGGTTATGTTTCACAATCTACACGTATCCTTCATATAACATGGCAGTTATGTTCCAAAAATGTTCTGTGTTATGTGAATCAGTGCTATATGAAACAAAAGACCAATGCAAAACACGTGGCTATATTCCAGAAGCTGGCTAGAAAAGTATACTATTCTTTTTATTACTAAGAGAAATATGTTTTTTAAAGCAATCAATAATATATTTCCAATCAATAATTAATTAACAATTACAATTAAAAGTACTGTATTTTGCATTAATATTAATTTTAGTTAAATGAGGACATTTCCTTTTTACAAAGTATTATCATCTCAGCTTGTTGTTGATCTTTACTAGAAATATCAGCAACATTTTCATACTTTTTATTTTTATCATAAAAATATTTATGGATGACAGAATAAAAATATGTTATTAATTGAAAGTTTGTTCTAGCAGATTATGTTTGTTCAGTCAAGTACTGAGTGACTTTTTTCCAGAATTTCTGTTTGAATACCAAGATATCACTGTATTTAGTTAGTCATTTTACAAATGATTGCTTACAGTTAAAAAAATGTTTAATGGTACTTATCTAAAAAGTTTTAAATAAACTTTACTAAATATGAAGATTAATTTATAAAAAGAAAACAGTTGACAGTTTTAAGGACTAAAGTCTGAAAGCAATGATAATGACATCTGGTTGATAGAAAAGTTTGTGAAATTTTTTCTTACTTGTTCTATCAGTTTTCATTAAAGTAAACCTGATGAAAAGCACAAAATAATTTGAAAATTTTAATATTCCAAAATCCATGGACAAATTTGAGATGACTTGTGCTTACTTGAATAAAAGAAAAAATCAAATAATGAAGTTTACACTTAAAAATTGTGAAATTTTGTATGGAGGATTTCTAAACCATGTTAGAGTGAAACCAGAAGTCATGTTGTACAGGGGAATTTTCCTAATTTTCAAACCATGTTGTAGAAGAACTGTGTTGTATGAGGGATACCTGTATTTGCAAAATAAATTTTGATACTAATATAAAATAATTTAAAAGACAATTATGTACATAATTTTAGTTGATTTTTATTTAGATAATTTTATTATAATATATATAATGATGATAATTTTCAATTAATGACTAATATTTTATAGAAATAATCAAATGATATGGTCAGATTAATTATTACGCTAAAACATATGAACCACGTAAATAGTTTATTTATGTAAGTTCTAGTCAAGTTCTAGTATTCTATTTATTAGTCAAGTTCTAGTATAATAATTTATCCAATTGATTAGATTATTTCTATAATTTGGGCTTGGTTTTATATATGATTACTATTTTATGTTATATTTATATAATTGTATAGAAAATTTTAAGAGAAAGTTTAATATTTAATGATATTGAACAAATAATATTGTTATTAGCATTTATCTGTTTGACAAGACTATGTCTTGTTTATAAAATTGTACTGCCGTTTTATGTTACCAGCATAGAGGTATGAAGGAGTACATGTCGAGAGTTGATATTTGGCACAGAGTATTAGGTGCCAAAATCATTTGCGCATAAAAAAATCCAGACTTGTAGATAATCAGGGGATCGAGAACCGAGTCAAAATAAAATCCAAAATGGCGACCCTCTTCTACAAACAGACAAAACAGGCACCTCATCCCACCGAAGTCAGGTGGCAGAGAGTACTACCCACAATCATTCTAAGAAGTGAACTCTGACTTTAGGACTGAACACGTAGTTTCTTCTTTGTTAAATAAAATTTGTAATCTAATTTTGTAAATTTGGGAGTTCTTCAAATATGACGTTAAAACAGGGTGTCGTTACAAGTAGGTTTTTTAATATCTGGTATAGTAAAATCGTGGGACTGATAAAAATTTGACATTATATTAGAGTTGTCGTTATATCCAATGATGTTATAATCAGGTTAAATTGTATGTTGTTTGTGCAAAATAAAAAAAAATAATTTTGGATGATTATTTTTTTCAAAAACGGGAAATTTTTGTTACACATCGACAAAAATTCAACCCGGGCTAACACGCAAAGGAGAGAAATTTCGAAATTGGGTAGGTTAATTTCATTGAAAATGCATCGTGGATGACCTCGTGGTTGTGGCTGGTGAAGTTTGAACGATTGCACCCAAAAGCAGTGGTACCAAAGATTGAAGAATGAGAACAAGACCCGCTTTGATCATCAAAGTGATTCCACTTAGGTGAGTCTCCGAGACATAGTCTTGTCCCAAACATGGCCTTGCCATTTTACTTGTTTATTATTATTGTTGAAAGGATTAAATAATAAACTGTTTCAGAGTGATAGTTTGGATGATTATTTTACCAGAGATAAAAAATATTGTTAACTCAGAAATCAATCCATTCTCTTTTTGAATAAAACCAAAACAACTTCATATTTTCAGAATTAATATTTAAATAATGTCAAATTATATGCTATTATTTTATATTATACCGAACTGTCACAATATTCCATTAAAGGGATGGCCAAGAAAAAAGTTGATTTCCCGTGCATGATACTCTGCAAGCTTCAATCCTCTGAAGAACATCACATAGGCATGGCATAGCACACCAAGAACACTTGGCCAATCTTTCACCCTGGAACCTGCCGAATTCATGCATTACATCCATATCTGACAATCTTGCATCATTTCTGTCTATCCATATTGTCTCTTCCACATTCATGCACTCTCAGTACATTCTTTTACTCAAAATCTGTTTCTTTCACTCTTCCAGTTGCTCAGTCCATCTTTTCCTTGGTCTTCCACACACCCTTTTTCTCTCCACACTTCCCATATACAACTTCTTACATACCTTATCTTTTGACATTCTTTCCACATGGTCAAACCAATGCAGACATCCTTGATGCACTCACTCAAAAACATTCTCTTTGACATTGCACTGCACCAACACATTCTCATTACTCATCAGATCTCTTCTTATCACACCACGTATATACCTCGCATATCTCATCTCAACTACGATTACTTTGCTCTTATGCATCACTCTCCATACTCATGTCTCATAACCATAAAACAGAATCAGAAGGATCACGCTCTCATATGCAGTCACACTTATCTTCTTCAGAATCAAATTCTTACAAACCAACTGTGCACCCAATCACTTTCATACAAGTATTCACTTGTCTTCCAATCTCTATCTATTCTGCTATTTCTCTCAAAGGTGCTCCCCAAATAAAAAACTTCCTTACTTGCTCTATCGTCACACTGTTCAGTTGTGTCTTGCACTCATGCATTTGCCCATCTATTTCAAACACTTTTAAAACTTTCATTTTCTCTCCATTTATTCTCAATGCCATTTTTTCTCAGCATTCATTCAACCTGCAGTTACTTACTGCACTTCAATTTGGCTTTTGGTCAGTAGAACAGTATCATCAGCACATAATAAGCAATTAAACATTTTACCACGCACTTTCACACTCATTCACTCTTCTTTCAACTGCCTCACACATTGAACTATTTTGACAGTTTACCAGCCTCTAACACACACACTGCTGTTCTCATACAATGCTTCATCTCAAGCAGCTTCCCACTCAAACTATACTCACAAGAATAACATTCCACAAGTACTCTCTTTTCACTTGGTTGTATATTTTCTCCAAATACACAAATGCTGCAAAATTCTCTCGTTCACACCCAAGTACTTCTCAAATCATTTGCAATCCAAAGATTTGATCCATACATCTTAATTAACCGTTAAAGACTTATCCCGAGATATCTCGGGCAAGTTCCATAGCGTTACATAAAACTCAGGCATTTGGGCCCCGAAAACATTTTTTTCAATTTTTGGATGTTTTTTAGGTCTCCAAATTTTTTCAAAAATTTTTACCCGCACAAAAAAATTTTATCGCGATTTTAATCAACCTTTAATGACACGCGATTAATGCTTAATTGTTTTGTAATGTGATTTTTTTATCAAATTTAATTAATCGTTCTAAAGTTGTAGTACACGGATTTTACTTCGGTAAAGTTATTTAAAGCTAGTTTCTGATATCAAAAACGACCTCCAATAGGTTTTTAATTTTTTTAATTAATATATTTTATTATATATAAGTTTAATTAAATTGGGGGGGTCAGAAATCGCAATAAAAATTTTAATTTTTTAAAAATATTTAAAAATATACCGCCAGCTAGTATTCAACCTACTTTAAACCCTTGTCCTCCTGAGACATCTATGAGAATGTCCCGGGAAATCCGACACCAGATGTTCTCAAGGTCATCCAGCTGTAAACACAATTACTCATTGGTGTCAAATTTCGCAGAAAGGCGAGACAATGAAAAATAAAGTTTGAAGCTTTTTCTTCAAAATTAACGCATTTCTTTCTTTTTTTTTTCAGTTTTAAATATTTTTTCAGTTTAATTACATTAATATCAAAAATTGGAAAGTTGCAAAGGAGTTAATAATTAAAATATAAAAATAAATACACAACAGCACCATTGATGAAGCAAGATGTTTTATCATGAACTACACTACTTACAAGTTTAGAAGCTTAAATAGTACTATCCACAGCTCTGGTATGTCAAGCATGGGGGAGTTGCGCAACGAAATTGATGTAATAAAAATGAAAAGGGATATCTATATGAATAGTGTTATTTGGTCTTCACAGTGATTTAGAAATGAAGTCTGTGACTAAAGTGGATTTACCCTCTATCACTTTTTTAGCTGTTCTGTTGTACACCAATTATGTACAACATTTTGAAGATGTTCCTCAAGACAGAAATGGAGCATTTTAGCAGTCACCCCAATATATAATAGCTTTGGCCCAGTAAGCAGATTTTGTAAGGGTATAGCATATACTCTAAATTTTTAAAAGAGTGCAAGATCATCCCTATTGCAAAAGTTCCTAAGCAATGTGGGCTGGGGTGCTAGTGGCAATTCATAACCAAACTTTTTGAAAACCTGGCAAATATATAATGAAGGTGGACCCAGATATGGAATGTCAGGTGTCACAAAAACCAATTCTTTTCTACGATTCAAAGTGGATCACAGAAATAAAATTACTTTGACCCAGTTGACTAGATGGTTAAACTTGGCTAAAGAATATCCAGCACTGCAAACTGCCAATTTAACAAGGGAGAACTTTTCATCTATAAACAGTTGGGTGGAAAGATATAAGAAAGCCCTGCGTGTGAGCACTATAATAGTTGAATTTTCATACCTGGGGGTTGAAAAGCTATGGAATGGATGATGTATAGCAGCACATCAAATTTATGAAAAGAAAATCCCATTGGAGATCTGTGTACAAATAGATCTAAAAAAAAAAAAAACTTTGCATCTTTCTCATCCTCTTTAATAAACAAAATAGTCAGAAAAATGGCTGACAGCAATTGTATAAAGTCTAGTAACTTTTCATCAGAGCCTTGCATAACATACCATAAATATAGAAGAGGATAATGTATGGTAAGAGGAAATGTAAAAATTTTGAACTCTATGTTTCACATGATTAATTCAGCTAAAATAGTCGAGAGATGTGAGCCCATGGACACTCCCTGCTTTTGTAAATAAATGTTACCATTGAAACAAAAATAATTTCTTTCTGTAATTAGTAAAAGTGTCTCCTTCAGTCCCAATATCTGTGATATGGGACAACCATTCTCAATCAGTAAGGTGCTTGCAAGCATGACTGTTCAAAATGGGGCACTGACCAGTGTCCAATTTTGAAGCAGTTGCCCAAGACAAGACAACTACTAGAATGCTCAGCCTCTGTCTTGTGGAACATCGTGAAGATGTTGTACATAATAGGTGTTGTACATAACAGAATTGCTAAAAAAGTGATAGAAGATAAATTTGATCTGCTTTGGTCGCAAACTTCACTACTAAAATGCTCTGGGGATCAAAGAACACTATTCATATGGAAATCCCTTTTCTTTGCATCAATGTCACTGTACAACTCTCCCACACTTGACATACCAGAGCTGTGGATAACACAGTTTAAGCTTCTAAACTCATAAGTCACACATTTTACAAAAAAACACCTAACATCATCAACAATGCTGATGTATATTTATTTATTTTTGTATTTTAATTCAGTAACTTTTGTTAATGTTATTCCTTTGTATATCCTGGTTATTTTTGTAATATTGTATAATTTTGTAATTTATATATATATATAATTTAAGTTCCATACTTGTGTGTGAAAAACAATTTTGAAAGAATGTTTGTCACTGTTTGTGTTTTATTTTTCAAATTCAAATGTTCTGTTTTTTATGAATGATATTGCCTGAATAGGACAATTATATACAATGTGGTGGAGTCAGTAAACAAATAGTTCGACTCTGACTTAGGAAAATTTGAAATGAGCGATTCCAACTCTGACCTGTCACATTACAATTCCTTTTATAAAGACAATACCATTAGGTATCCAAATATTTTTATTTAAAATTTCTCTGTAAAACTTGTACTGAAATTGATGGTGAGAATCAAAAAATGGATATAATGAATTTACCTTGGAAAACTTTTGAGTACATAAAGAAACATACATTTTAATCAGCCAAATAAATTCCACTTTTGTTAGTTAATTATAAAAAATTGATTTAAATTTAATCATTTCAAAGAAAAGATTTAAATACAATAAATGAAAAAAAAACAACAATTTGATTAATGAATGACATAATAAATTGATTTGCAAAATAGTTTCTGTTGATCAAGCTACTACAAGAGTAGTTCAATCCAACTGACTGTTGACTAAACTATATTGTAGAATTTTAAAATATGAATTTCAGAAAAAATATACCAGTCGTCTTAAACCAATGCTTACAATCCCCAAGAAAATAAACTGGTAAATAAGCTGGAACAAGCCTGTTAATTACATTTTGCTGTTTTCACTTCCTCCTTTAGTTTGTTGCAGTTAGATTCTGATCTAGGTTTTATTTTTTGTTGTGTTTCTATTGACTGTTTTAAGACCAAATTTGTTTCAATTTTTATTTAATAATTTTACTTGTGATTTTTAATTTTTAATGCTTAACTGTTGAATGCAAACTGCTAAGTTCCTTGATTAGTTTGGCATTTCATTCTTAGATTTTTAGAATATTTAGATATCAATGTATTTGAAGATGATACAAATTTTACTTCAAAAAGATTTATATATTAAAAATTTTGTCTTATATTTTGCCATGGTTTGATTTTATTTAGAGTTTATCAAAATTGCTATACAATTTATTATTTTAAGTTATAATTGTAGAAGAAATTTATTTGATAATTTCTAAAATTTTTTAAAATTTCAGATAAATCAATAGAAGTTGTAATTATCCATGATGGTGTGAGACCTGTTATACCAGAAACAATTTTAGAAGAAGTAGTTATGGCTGCCAAAACTTATGGTGTAAGTTTCAGGAGTTTTATCAGAAAATCAACATGATTCTCTTTATATTAAAATTTGAATCAGTGAAAAATTATTGTTTGGATAAAAAGATTTTATACATTATTTATCAATACTCATGTGTTTTCAGGTTGATTATAAAATACCTTTTGATATTTGAGACTATGTATCTCTGGAAATATTTTGTCAAATAAACTGAAACTTTGGAAATACAGTTTATTATGGATATGTTTGAAGGCTTTGTAGCTGTAAGTTTTGTAGGCTTGTAGATTTTGTAGTGTATGTGATGAAATACTTTACTGATGAATATTTTATGATGAACAGTGAATAGAGGCTTTCCATAAATACTGCCCTACTGCCCAGCAACATCAGACATCTGCCCACTCTCTACCTTTGCTATTATACCTTTCAAAAATAAAACCCGACACAAAACTTAACGAGTGCCTGCCCAACAGTCTTGCAAATACTATAAAAGAATTGTTTTGTCAGTAAAATAAAAAAGGCTGGAATTCCAAGGGAGAGTTTCAAAGTTCGGAGGAATACTATCCGATCAGTATCTACCACTTGAGCGTCAATGTCAACGTCTCTCACACTCCGAAAAATTTCGAATTGTTACTTGAAGACAAGGGAAAATCAATCGTTATTTGCTATTTTTGTTGCTTCATTTTATGTTTGTTCAATGAAGTGTTTGTTATCCGAACATGTGTTCGTTGTCCAATCATAAAAATCTTTCGTGAAAGTGTTTGTTAACTGATCACCCACTGTATTCCAGTCTATAAAAAGACTCAGAGAGGCTCACTATTTCACAATTTTTAGTATTCTTGTTGTTTAGAGGTCTTCGAATATCAGGCATGTCTGCATGATGCAGGCAGGTCTGATATAAAAACATTACACATAGCTGACAGAATTTGAGAAAGGCTGCATCATCAGGCTAGAGAAAACAAGGTGGCTGTTTTGCTGAATTGCCCCCATCTGGACCATTCATTCTGATCTTCCTATTGAAGTGTTTGGGACAGTGGATATGTCAGGGTACACAAACACAACAACCAGGATACCCTAGCCAGATCACCAGGAGAAATGATTGTCTGATTATGAGCCAACTATGAATAACTACAACCAGTGCTGCAGTTTCTTTTACTTTGAGAGGTGCCAAGGCCAAGGATCCTTGCACCCCCCTCAAAGTAAAAGGAAAAGAAACACTAGTAAATTTTTCAAAAATATTTTCCTAATTAAAATTCATGTTTTATTTATATTGTATTGTATATTCTATTTCTATGCTACTTATGAATTAGCAGTCACATGAGGAAATTTTATTGGGTTTGCATTAAAAAATTTTTTTTATTCATTCATCTTGCCTCCTCTCAAGATTAAATCTTGAGTGTGCCTCTGGCTACAACAATATTTGTCCCATCCAGAGACAGGTGGAAACCTCTCTACAGAACCTCTCTCTTTCCATACCATTGGCTGGTGACAAGTAGACTATGAATGCATAACAATCACTATGCATTCTGCCATTAGAACCCAACATTTTCAGCTTCATTTGCAGTAGTGCCATGACAGAGAAGTTTAAGCAGCTATGGATTGGCAGCATATCATCTATAGTAATGAATTCTAGTTCCATTTGGGAATGGATGACAATTGTGTTGTATGGAGGACCACTGTGAGTGCTTCAGTCCTATCTTTACTGTTGAGTTAGCACACTGCATCACTGCTGGCTTACCTGACTGGGAAACTATTTTTTTATAAGTCAGTCAGTCTCCACTAGCAACAGTAGGAGAGGCATTGATGGCACAGTTGTATTTGCAAGAAATCATGTGCCCTCGTGTGTTGCCTTTTATGGCAAGTCTATAAACAGGTTTTTCTTTTCTTTTTTTTTTTTTAGCAATATAATGCTCACCTGCATACTGGTAGATTTTCCCAAGTGCATCTGCCATATTGTCACACTTCATTATCAGAGATTTGTCATCCATCAATCATTTGTGAAACCAGATGGACCCACCAGCTTTGACTGTGAGGGATCTGAGGCAGAAATTGCAACATTTACGGGTATATCTATTGAAAAATAGCATATAGTGCCTACATATTTCCATACTCATTCATATCTGTGCATGTATTTAGGCAAGAGGAGAATGTACAAAATACTAAAGGTTCTTTGAAATTATACTGCTGTTTTAAAGGAAATTGTACTTTTACTATGATATTATAATCACTTATTACCATTATTACATTTTCATTTGATTCCAATGCCTCCTTTTTTGTGTGTAACTTTTTGTCAATGAGTATAGTAGCAAATTTTAAGATTCAAGACCTTTCAGTAGAACAGCATTTAAGGACTTGTGGTCATTGGCAGATCAAGAAGAACCAAAAGAACTAACTTAAAAATTTTAAATATTTGAATAATTGTAAGTACCTTTTATTAACATATGCAAGATAATTTTATTGCTCCAGTGGTCTGATAAATCATATTTGCCATGGTAAGGCTAAGAACAGAAGGGGTTAATTAATTAAAAACAACATTTTGAAGTTTGAACAAATAAATTTTAATTTTTTATGTCAATAGAAAGGGTTTAAATTCCTGTAACACTTCTGTGGATCTGCCTCCTGCTTATGATGTAGTTTAAAAGATTACAATTTTGAAAACTAAAATTATATATATTTTTTGCAAATAATAAATAATAATTTATAACTACAATATTCATCATGAAGAGTTTTTCTTGTGTTTTGAAGATTTGAATTGTACAAAAGCTATGAACTGTGAACACACATAAGGATTAAATGATTTCAGGAATTCCATTTAGTAACAAAAATAGGAATTATACGACAAGAAAGATTGGATTTATCTTATCTACATTAGAATTTAATACAGTAATTATGGTTAATGAATAGTCTGTGTTCAGATTGTCATAAAAAATTTATTAAAATTATTAACTAGTTTTTGCTATAGAACCTAAACTAACAAAAAGCAAGGCCAAGAAAAACAATGCTTTTGTCATTCACTTGTTAAAGCTAATTTAGCAAGGAAAGCTGCTCATTGTGAATATCTTTATCAGTTATTAATAATTTAGACTTTTAATTAATTTAAACAATTTTTGTAATATCCCATCATTACAATTATCTGAACTTTCAAAATATGTTTTAAAGTAATTTTTGTTTTTTCATATATAATATTAAATGTATTTGTTTTATTTATGCAAATATTGAATATAAATTATTGTATTTTTAATTAGCTTTATTATTTTTTTAAATAATAGTAGCATTTAATTAGTTGAATTTTATTCTAACTGACAATACCTTGAATGTAATCGAGATGAAAGTTGATTATTACTCTTTTCAATAGTGTTTTCTTTATGCATTATATTGCATTATATTCTATATGCATATATAACTTCTTTGGAAAGATCAATAATTTAGAACTATTTATTAATAAACTTTTAAGAAACAAAACTTTATAAATTTATGTAATAACTTGCAGTTGATTTAAATGAATATTTAGTTCACTTAATAAATCAATTACTGCTTTCAAATGTATTTTTTATTTCTTAGTATATTTGAAGTAAAATGCATTAAAACTGAATGTTTTGCTAATAAAAACTTTAATACAAAAATTAAAATTCTAAATATTTCATATTATATACACTCAATTCTGTTTTTACATGGTAGATATATTCCTGAAAAATCTGTATAAAAGTATTATGTGAAAAAGGAAAATGGGAGATTTGTTCTAGACCTTATAAACTAATTAATATAATATAATGTATTTGAAAATAATATTTCAATTTTAATTAATAAATCAGAGTAGGGACAATTGTAACTTATCAGCAAAATTTAATAAAGTTAAATAAATTTAATAGCATTCATGCACATTTTATTTTTATTCCACTTTTTCAATTAAATATCCAAAATATCTCTAGATTTTAACACCAAATGGTATCCAAAAACTGTTTTGTATTTAAGGGATAAGTCAATGCAATACATTGGTGATCTGTCAAGGAGGGGATGTTGCAAGTGAGACTTTCTATGGAAAACTGGCCTTTATTTAGGTTTCGTTGAAAAACACCTATATGTAACAAACAGCCTTAAGTGCAAATTCAAAGAATTTTTTTTAAGAGCATAGAATTTAAAAAACAAATTACAGTCCCTGGCCAAATTATTAGACGCACTATAGTTTTTGTGTAAATCTTAATTATCAGCTAGTACAATTTGGTCTTTGAATATTTATTACTAATGAATTTAACCTGTAATGTACAGTTTACTTTATTACATAGGTGTTAACACAAATAAAACGTTATATTTATTGAAAATTTTTGTTTTTATTAACATAGTAAAAAAATACAAAATTGCCATTTAATTAAATTTTAGTATTTTGTTGAGCCACCTTTTGCAGCTATGAGAGCCTCAATCCGGTGCCGCATGCTGTCGATGCAAGACTGGACAATCTTCTGCATTTGTGAATGATGATTCCACACATGGATGATTTTTTCCAAAAGCTACATTTTGGTTGTGATGACTTCTTTGTCCATTTCCCTCTTCATGAGCTCCCACACATTTTCTATGAGGTTCATGTTGGGACTATTACCCGGCCAATCCAACAGAGGGATATTTTGCTCTTGTAGATATGTTTTCACAGACCTGGCTGTGTGGCAGGGAGCTCCATCTTGCATAAAAACCTGTGGCAGCAACCAATTTTGCAAGACTTCTTTATATTGGTCTTGCCTCATGGTGCCTTTTACTATGTACAGGCACCCAGTGCCCTTGCCACTAATGATGGACCAAATCACTACTTTCGTGCAGTGCTTAACAGTCTGAATGACACAGTCAGAATGAAATTTTTTCCCTCTACGACGACGGACAAAATGAGCTTTGTTGGCTAAAATTTCAAATGTGCTTTCATCTCTGATTTGGACCTGAGAAAACAAGAAAAAAATATCTTATGAATCAAGTACCTACTGTTAATTTGTCTATTTTATAGTAAATAATCTGTATAATGTTAAATTACCAATCTCCACGTCATCACACCACTGTTTGGCCCACTCCAAATGCTTTCTTTCATTGCAACTGTTAACTAGGGTTTTCTTGCTAGTCGGTAAGCCTTAAAATTCAGATCTTTCAATTTTCTGCGAACATGTGCTCAGAAGCATTCACGTTTGCATCTTCCAATTGAGATTTTATTGATTTAGTGGAAGCAAATCTGTTTTTTAAGCAAATTTTCTTAAGACGTCTTTCTGACCTTGAGGTGAAAATTGCCTTTCTGCCATATTTATGTTTTCTTTTTGGATTCAGATCTTGATCTGATTCAACTTGTTTTTTTTATAAGTAGTATGCTAGCTTCAGACACCTTCAACCTTCGTGAAATTTCACGGTTGGAATACATTTTTGTATTAATGAGGGCTTTTTTACGTGGTGAAAGGTCCCCCTTTTTGACCATGTCAAAAGATAACAATTTATCGTATCTGGTTGGTAAAAATACTACTATCGAAGAAAACAAACACTTGCATAATTGTATACCATGAAATAAATACAAGAGGTGAACAGAAACACGTCCACACATACCTTCCAATAAATTAATATTGTAATGAAATATAACAAAAATAGATATACAATGACATTAAAAAGATAAGTTTCGTTTATCAAAATTATGATTTATAAGATAGATCTACACCAGACCAAGTATAAAACATGTAAGTATGAAAAATCTGTAGTGCATCTAATAATTTGGCCAGGGACTGTATATATTTTTTCTTAGAATTAAAATTAAATTTAGAGATTAGAGATTTTAAAAAGGCATATTTAATTCTTAATAAAGCTTTTTCTGGGTTACAATTATGAGTATGAGTTTATTACTAGTTATTAATAACTAATTATATGGGTTCATCACATAGTTGGGCCTTTATTAAAACATGCAATGTTTTCCAGGATACATTTTGGCCTTTTAGAAGGTTCTCTTCAGCTGGTTGTTATTTGTGGAACCATGTTAGATCAAAACAAATTATGTAAAAAAGAGAATTGAATTTTTTCCAGTGTGTTAAATCAAAATTGAGTTTAAAAAACCATATAAAAAACAGAATTGGGTTTATATTGTTTTCCTCAGAAAAAAGTTTTAGATGATCTTCCTGCAATGTTAGCTGGTTGCCACTAGAAATTTGCTTAAAAACCATCAATTAATGACATCAAAACACTCAAGAGCATAGTAATCCATGGTCCAATTATCTTTTAAAAAAATAATAATATTATAATAATAAATAATTTTAACTAGCCAGAAAAAATATGATTGATTGACCCTAACTAAAACTATCAATAACTTGGAGAGAACACTGTTATAATTATTTATATAAACTTGTATTCAAAATATTATTTGTAGTAAGTACATATTTCAAGATACTTAATTTTTAGGCAGCTGGTGTAATAAGACCACTAGTATCAACAGTAATTTCGCAAGATAAAGAAAAGCTCTTAGATGTAGTTTTGGATAGAACAAAATACTATGCAAGTGAAATGCCTCAAGCCTTTACTTTTAATATGATACTAGATGCATATTCTAAGGTTAGTATTATTTAAATTTTTTAAGAACTATTTTAAATATAAAAACATTTTGGAAAAAGAAAGTTTAATATATAAAAATTTTAAGTATACTTCATAATTTATTTAATGTTTTTTAAATTTATGCATTAGAATGTTTTTTTTGTATTTAAGAATTATATTTTTTACTTTAATATTATCATAATAAAGCATGCAATTCCATTACTGCTTATATTTATGTCATTTTGTTATTCCAGAGAATTTGTAACCTAGCGAGTTTTTTTTATCATTTTATTATAAAATAGAAATGAATTCATTCACTAGAAAAAGTTTTTTTATCTATCCTGAAATGTTTGTTTTTTGGCATTTACAACATTATGGCATTGCATGCTTCATTATATAAATTTTAATATTATCTTATTTTAATAATTTGAATTACATTTTAAATTTATTAAATGTTTTTTTAGACATTTTTGTTTTCTATATAATGAAGTTTATCCAAATTTGATAATATTTGGTTCAATGGAATTAATCAATGCTTCTTTAACAGTGGGTGAAGTTTAATAATGGTAATATTTTTGATCCTACAAGTCATCTTTAGGCATGGACAGTTGAAAGTGGAATGCCAATGTTGGAAAGAAGATTGATGAGATAAGAATTTCATTTTCTGCTCACTGTGCCACTTTCTGTTCCCCTGTTAAAGGTGTATTGATTGATTCAGCTGAGTAATCACACTACCATCCTTATATAAGTATTTGGTTCAACTATACATATCTTTGTGGAACTGTGTTTTCGATAAAACTTTTTATTATTTATGAAAAATTTGGACTTGAACAAGTTTTTCTTTAGTTAATCACACTTTTTTAATGTAGTTATCATATTCATAAAATTATCTTTTTTTCATTATAATATTCTTTTGATATAATATGTACTGTAAGAATATCAATACTTATTTATTAGTTGAATATGTTATTTATTTATCAAACTTTGTTTTCAATAGAATGTTATTAAATCATGAATTATTAGAAAACATTAAATATAATGATGAAATTGGTAATGGTAATTAAATTATTGTACTAACCTTAAACAAATTTTGATATATAAACAATTGAACCTGTAATAATGGCTGTCTTTAAACAGAAGCCATTTTTTCAAAAACATTTCTTTTTTGAAATGCATACAAAAGAATCTCTAGACAATGGCCATTTTTCATGTCCATGTCAGTGGCCACTGTCCAGAGNAAAAGATGAAGAGAACAGGAGAAGTAAGCTGTTAGCATTATTTTGCCCGATATTAAAACTGAACATAATATATGTTGACGTAATTTACAATATTACATTTTCTCACACTTCTTCTTCCAGATATGCCCTAAATACTAAAATGAAAGGTCTGTAACAAGTACATACCTCGCTTTGCGACCTCATTGTTATACAGTGAGTGATCGGTTAACGAACATAATCCGTTCCGAGACTTTGTTCGCTATCCGAATTGTTCGTTAACCGATTATCGATTTACCATAGGTTTTAATGGGAGTTTAATTAATTCGTTCCGGAGGCCCCAAAAATAAAAAAGTATAAATCACTACAGTTTATTTGTGGAAATCAAATACAGTGGGTGATCGGTTAACAAACATAATCCGTTCCAAGACTTTGTGTGCTATCCGAATTGTTCGTTAACCAATTATCGATTTACCATAGGTTTTAATGGGAGTTTAATTAATTCGTTCTGGAGACCCCCAAAAATAAAAAATATATACTTTCTTACTGTTTATTTATATGTAATAATAAAAATACATACATACACAGTCTTGNGACAGAATTTGAGAAAGGCTGCATCATCAGGCTAGAGAAAACAAGGTGGCTGTTTTGCTGAATTGCCCCCATCTGGACCATTCATTCTGATCTTCCTATTGAAGTGTTTGGGACAGTGGATATGTCAGGGTACACAAACACAACAACCAGGATACCCTAGCCAGATCACCAGGAGAAATGATTGTCTGATTATGAGCCAACTATGAATAACTACAACCAGTGCTGCAGTTTCTTTTACTTTGAGAGGTGCCAAGGCCAAGGATCCTTGCACCCCCCTCAAAGTAAAAGGAAAAGAAACACTAGTAAATTTTTCAAAAATATTTTCCTAATTAAAATTCATGTTTTATTTATATTGTATTGTATATTCTATTTCTATGCTACTTATGAATTAGCAGTCACATGAGGAAATTTTATTGGGTTTGCATTAAAAAATTTTTTTTATTCATTCATCTTGCCTCCTCTCAAGATTAAATCTTGAGTGTGCCTCTGGCTACAACAATATTTGTCCCATCCAGAGACAGGTGGAAACCTCTCTACAGAACCCTCTCTCTTTCCATACCATTGGCTGGTGACAAGTAGACTATGAATGCATAACAATCACTATGCATTCTGCCATTAGAACCCAACATTTTCAGCTTCATTTGCAGTAGTGCCATGACAGAGAAGTTTAAACAGCTATGGATTGGCAGCATATCATCTATAGTAATGAATTCTAGTTCCATTTGGGAATGGATGACAATTGTGTTGTATGGAGGACCACTGTGAGTGCTTCAGTCCTATCTTTACTGTTGAGTTAGCACACTGCATCACTGCTGGCTTACCTGACTGGGAAACTATTTTTTTATAAGTCAGTCAGTCTCCACTAGCAACAGTAGGAGAGGCATTGATGGCACAGTTGTATTTGCAAGAAATCATGTGCCCTCGTGTGTTGCCTTTTATGGCAAGTCTATAAACAGGTTTTTCTTTTCTTTTTTTTTTTTTAGCAATATAATGCTCACCTGCATACTGGTAGATTTTCCCAAGTGCATCTGCCATATTGTCACACTTCATTATCAGAGATTTGTCATCCATCAATCATTTGTGAAACCAGATGGACCCACCAGCTTTGACTGTGAGGGATCTGAGGCAGAAATTGCAACATTTACGGGTATATCTATTGAAAAATAGCATATAGTGCCTACATATTTCCATACTCATTCATATCTGTGCATGTATTTAGGCAAGAGGAGAATGTACAAAATACTAAAGGTTCTTTGAAATTATACTGCTGTTTTAAAGGAAATTGTACTTTTACTATGATATTATAATCACTTATTACCATTATTACGTTTTCATTTGATTCCAATGCCTCCTTTTTTGTGTATAACTTTTTGTCAATGAGTATAGTAGCAAATTTTAAGATTCAAGACCTTTCAGTAGAACAGCATTTAAGGACTTGTGGTCATTGGCAGATCAAGAAGAACCAAAAGAACTAACTTAAAAATTTTAAATATTTGAATAATTGTAAGTACCTTTTATTAACATATGCAAGATAATTTTATTGCTCCAGTGGTCTGATAAATCATATTTGCCATGGTAAGGCTAAGAACAGAAGGGGTTAATTAATTAAAAACAACATTTTGAAGTTTGAACAAATAAATTTTAATTTTTTATGTCAATAGAAAGGGTTTAAATTCCTGTAACACTTCTGTGGATCTGCCTCCTGCTTATGATGTAGTTTAAAAGATTACAATTTTGAAAACTAAAATTATATATATTTTTTGCAAATAATAAATAATAATTTATAACTACAATATTCATCATGAAGAGTTTTTCTTGTGTTTTGAAGATTTGAATTGTACAAAAGCTATGAACTGTGAACACACATAAGGATTAAATGATTTCAGGAATTCCATTTAGTAACAAAAATAGGAATTATACGACAAGAAAGATTGGATTTATCTTATCTACATTAGAATTTAATACAGTAATTATGGTTAATGAATAGTCTGTGTTCAGATTGTCATAAAAAATTTATTAAAATTATTAACTAGTTTTTGCTATAGAACCTAAACTAACAAAAAGCAAGGCCAAGAAAAACAATGCTTTTGTCATTCACTTGTTAAAGCTAATTTAGCAAGGAAAGCTGCTCATTGTGAATATCTTTATCAGTTATTAATAATTTAGACTTTTAATTAATTTAAACAATTTTTGTAATATCCCATCATTACAATTATCTGAACTTTCAAAATATGTTTTAAAGTAATTTTTGTTTTTTCATATATAATATTAAATACTTCAAAAAGATTTATATATTAAAAATTTTGTCTTATATTTTGCCATGGTTTGATTTTATTTAGAGTTTATCAAAATTGCTATACAATTTATTATTTTAAGTTATAATTGTAGAAGAAATTTATTTGATAATTTCTAAAATTTTTTAAAATTTCAGATAAATCAATAGAAGTTGTAATTATCCATGATGGTGTGAGACCTGTTATACCAGAAACAATTTTAGAAGAAGTAGTTATGGCTGCCAAAACTTATGGTGTAAGTTTCAGGAGTTTTATCAGAAAATCAACATGATTCTCTTTATATTAAAATTTGAATCAGTGAAAAATTATTGTTTGGATAAAAAGATTTTATACATTATTTATCAATACTCATGTGTTTTCAGGTTGATTATAAAATACCTTTTGATATTTGAGACTATGTATCTCTGGAAATATTTTGTCAAATAAACTGAAACTTTGGAAATACAGTTTATTATGGATATGTTTGAAGGCTTTGTAGCTGTAAGTTTTGTAGGCTTGTAGATTTTGTAGTGTATGTGATGAAATACTTTACTGATGAATATTTTATGATGAACAGTGAATAGAGGCTTTCCATAAATACTGCCCTACTGCCCAGCAACATCAGACATCTGCCCACTCTCTACCTTTGCTATTATACCTTTCAAAAATAAAACCCGACACAAAACTTAACGAGTGCCTGCCCAACAGTCTTGCAAATACTATAAAAGAATTGTTTTGTCAGTAAAATAAAAAAGGCTGGAATTCCAAGGGAGAGTTTCAAAGTTCGGAGGAATACTATCCGATCAGTATCTACCACTTGAGCGTCAATGTCAACGTCTCTCACACTCCGAAAAATTTCGAATTGTTACTTGAAGACAAGGGAAAATCAATCGTTATTTGCTATTTTTGTTGCTTCATTTTATGTTTGTTCAATGAAGTGTTTGTTATCCGAACATGTGTTCGTTGTCCAATCATAAAAATCTTTCGTGAAAGTGTTTGTTAACTGATCACCCACTGTATTCCAGTCTATAAAAAGACTCAGAGAGGCTCACTATTTCACAATTTTTAGTATTCTTGTTGTTTAGAGGTCTTCGAATATCAGGCATGTCTGCATGATGCAGGCAGGTCTGATATAAAAACATTACACATAGCTGACAGAATTTGAGAAAGGCTGCATCATCAGGCTAGAGAAAACAAGGTGGCTGTTTTGCTGAATTGCCCCCATCTGGACCATTCATTCTGATCTTCCTATTGAAGTGTTTGGGACAGTGGATATGTCAGGGTACACAAACACAACAACCAGGATACCCTAGCCAGATCACCAGGAGAAATGATTGTCTGATTATGAGCCAACTATGAATAACTACAACCAGTGCTGCAGTTTCTTTTACTTTGAGAGGTGCCAAGGCCAAGGATCCTTGCACCCCCCTCAAAGTAAAAGGAAAAGAAACACTAGTAAATTTTTCAAAAATATTTTCCTAATTAAAATTNGATATTTTGCTCTTGTAGATATGTTTTCACAGACCTGGCTGTGTGGCAGGGAGCTCCATCTTGCATAAAAACCTGTGGCAGCAACCAATTTTGCAAGACTTCTTTATATTGGTCTTGCCTCATGGTGCCTTTTACTATGTACAGGCACCCAGTGCCCTTGCCACTAATGATGGACCAAATCACTACTTTCGTGCAGTGCTTAACAGTCTGAATGACACAGTCAGAATGAAATTTTTTCCCTCTACGACGACGGACAAAATGAGCTTTGTTGGCTAAAATTTCAAATGTGCTTTCATCTCTGATTTGGACCTGAGAAAACAAGAAAAAAATATCTTATGAATCAAGTACCTACTGTTAATTTGTCTATTTTATAGTAAATAATCTGTATAATGTTAAATTACCAATCTCCACGTCATCACACCACTGTTTGGCCCACTCCAAATGCTTTCTTTCATTGCAACTGTTAACTAGGGTTTTCTTGCTAGTCGGTAAGCCTTAAAATTCAGATCTTTCAATTTTCTGCGAACATGTGCTCAGAAGCATTCACGTTTGCATCTTCCAATTGAGATTTTATTGATTTAGTGGAAGCAAATCTGTTTTTTAAGCAAATTTTCTTAAGACGTCTTTCTGACCTTGAGGTGAAAATTGCCTTTCTGCCATATTTATGTTTTCTTTTTGGATTCAGATCTTGATCTGATTCAACTTGTTTTTTTTATAAGTAGTATGCTAGCTTCAGACACCTTCAACCTTCGTGAAATTTCACGGTTGGAATACATTTTTGTATTAATGAGGGCTTTTTTACGTGGTGAAAGGTCCCCCTTTTTGACCATGTCAAAAGATAACAATTTATCGTATCTGGTTGGTAAAAATACTACTATCGAAGAAAACAAACACTTGCATAATTGTATACCATGAAATAAATACAAGAGGTGAACAGAAACACGTCCACACATACCTTCCAATAAATTAATATTGTAATGAAATATAACAAAAATAGATATACAATGACATTAAAAAGATAAGTTTCGTTTATCAAAATTATGATTTATAAGATAGATCTACACCAGACCAAGTATAAAACATGTAAGTATGAAAAATCTGTAGTGCATCTAATAATTTGGCCAGGGACTGTATATATTTTTTCTTAGAATTAAAATTAAATTTAGAGATTAGAGATTTTAAAAAGGCATATTTAATTCTTAATAAAGCTTTTTCTGGGTTACAATTATGAGTATGAGTTTATTACTAGTTATTAATAACTAATTATATGGGTTCATCACATAGTTGGGCCTTTATTAAAACATGCAATGTTTTCCAGGATACATTTTGGCCTTTTAGAAGGTTCTCTTCAGCTGGTTGTTATTTGTGGAACCATGTTAGATCAAAACAAATTATGTAAAAAAGAGAATTGAATTTTTTCCAGTGTGTTAAATCAAAATTGAGTTTAAAAAACCATATAAAAAACAGAATTGGGTTTATATTGTTTTCCTCAGAAAAAAGTTTTAGATGATCTTCCTGCAATGTTAGCTGGTTGCCACTAGAAATTTGCTTAAAAACCATCAATTAATGACATCAAAACACTCAAGAGCATAGTAATCCATGGTCCAATTATCTTTTAAAAAAATAATAATATTATAATAATAAATAATTTTAACTAGCCAGAAAAAATATGATTGATTGACCCTAACTAAAACTATCAATAACTTGGAGAGAACACTGTTATAATTATTTATATAAACTTGTATTCAAAATATTATTTGTAGTAAGTACATATTTCAAGATACTTAATTTTTAGGCAGCTGGTGTAATAAGACCACTAGTATCAACAGTAATTTCGCAAGATAAAGAAAAGCTCTTAGATGTAGTTTTGGATAGAACAAAATACTATGCAAGTGAAATGCCTCAAGCCTTTACTTTTAATATGATACTAGATGCATATTCTAAGGTTAGTATTATTTAAATTTTTTAAGAACTATTTTAAATATAAAAACATTTTGGAAAAAGAAAGTTTAATATATAAAAATTTTAAGTATACTTCATAATTTATTTAATGTTTTTTAAATTTATGCATTAGAATGTTTTTTTTGTATTTAAGAATTATATTTTTTACTTTAATATTATCATAATAAAGCATGCAATTCCATTACTGCTTATATTTATGTCATTTTGTTATTCCAGAGAATTTGTAACCTAGCGAGTTTTTTTTATCATTTTATTATAAAATAGAAATGAATTCATTCACTAGAAAAAGTTTTTTTATCTATCCTGAAATGTTTGTTTTTTGGCATTTACAACATTATGGCATTGCATGCTTCATTATATAAATTTTAATATTATCTTATTTT